ATTCAATAAAAACTATTTTCTTTAGTTAAGTATTACGTTTTTAGATTAATTATTTGAAACGAAAAAACTGAAGTATGTGAGTAAAAATATGGGATATTTCGTGCATCATTTTTTTAAAAAAATACACTTTGATGTATCAATAATCTTTCGAAAGTTTTTTTCTAATATGACGGGAGGATTCAAAATAATCGTGGAATTTTAAAATATATTTGATAATAAAATTTGACATTGGTATTTGATTTATTATTTTTATTATGGTTCATTTTTTGATTATAAAAATTATAAGTAAAACTATTGTCAAAATAAAAAAATATTATTTCATATAGTTTGTTAGAAAGTATTTTTTATTCCTAAAAATATTTTATTGTTTGTTCAAAAAAAGTAAGTTTTTTTTTCTATTTTTTTAACTATATTTTTTATAAAATAATAAATTATTAGGGTGCGCAACCGCAAACCAAAATTGCCCAAAATGCCCGTTTTTTACATTAAAAATCTATTTGCATAAGACAATCATTATTTTCAATAATCGCAATCTGCAAATTCCATGGAACTTGTAGTTCCTTTTTGAGATATGCCATTTCGACAAAAAAATCAAAGATTAACAACAAAAAGAAAAAAACCAGTTTTTATTATTATTTGCATTTTTAATTTCAAAATCATTTTCATCACCAAAAAGAAAAAATGCCAATTTCTTCATCTTTTTTTACAAACCTCCAAAAAATTTTATTCTCTTACCACAAAAACATAAAATTTGATGGTAAAAAAGGAAAAAGGAATAACTTTGAAAATAAAAAGTATTATCTTGTTTTTTAAAGCTGAGATTATTTTTAGCAAGTCTCAACTTAAAAACAAAAAACGAAGAAATATAATTCGATAAATTGTAAAAAAACTAAAGTTGGTTTTTTCTCTGGCTTCGGATATAAAACTTTTCATTTTGTCGTTGTAGACTTTGTTTAGCAATGAAGTTCTAAATGTGGTGGTTCCACATAGCTTCACATTGGGGTCAAGGAGCTTGATCAACTAGACCAAGAATGGATTTGTTACCTGTCGCCAAGAAATATTTCCAGTAATGAAAAATTTTAACAAAAGTGTGTTGAGCTCGACACTTTTTGGAAAGTAATATTTTAATACTTCAAAATCGTCTATGTCATTCTCATCGATGTTTTCAGGGTGAAGTGAATAAAGGTGTGTTCTCATAGAGGACGTTGTTCCTTGAAAATTGAGGTATTTATGACAAAATTTGCACTTTACTTTTTACTTACAATTTGAACATCTCGTGTTGAAATTGCGATGTTCGGAACACTTCTTACAATCTTTTTTAAAATACTTCCAAACAAAGGAAACCTCTTTTTTGAATTCTTGCATGTGTTTTTTATTGATTTTTTAAATACAAGTTTTGTTTTGGGGATTAATATAATTTTAATTAAATAAACATTTTTATTTAATTTTTAATTAGTTTTTTAGTTGACACTAATTGTTTTTTGCCGTCTGTTGAAAGGTTTAGTTTTTTGAAAAAAAGTTAAGTATTGATTTAAATAATCAAGTTCTTTATAGTTTACTTTCAATTGTTCAAATTTGACAAAACCGTTATTTCTTTTTTATCTTTTAAATATTTTGCATTTTTGGTTCGAAGAAGGAATTTCTGTTTTTTTAATTGTGAATTGTGTACCCGTTTCAGAAAACAGAAGAATTTTGTCTCTTTTTTACCATTTTCAGTAAATATAAGAAATTTGAGCAATATCAACTTTGTTATCACCACAAAAGAGTCTATCTACCACTTTAGGATTTTTTAATCTTGCGATTGCCAACCCTATAAATTATACATTTACTTAAAAATATAGTAAAAACACATAAAAAATATATTATTATAATAATAATAGAATAATACATTTTTTTATTACACACAAAAACATGTATTATAAATCATTAATTGTATATAGATTGATACTAGTATTAAACACTTTAACAATAACTTACATACAAAATACTTATAATAAAACTTTCAGCATATTTTGAACCACAAGAAATCTCTCACAAGATATAGAAGAAAATTCAGAGGATCTGAGTGCTCGCA